ACAAAGGATACGAACTCATCATTTTTTCTGGCTGCATAGTATTCCATGGTATGTATGTACCTCATTTTTCTTGTCCAGTCTATCATCAATGGGCATTTGGGTTGGTTCCAGGTCTTTGTATTGTAAACAGTGCCACAATGAACATACGTGTGCATGTGTCCTCATAATAGAACGACTTATAACCCTTTGGGTATATACCCAGTAATGGGATTGCTGGGTCACATGGAATTTCTATTTCTAGGTCCCTGAGGAATCTCCACACTGTCTTCTACAATGGTTGAACTAATTTAAAAACAGTGTAAAAGTGTTCCTGTTTCTCCACATCGAGAGTTTTTAGCATAAAGGGCTGCTGAATTTTGTTGAAGGTCTTGTCTGCATCATTTGAGATGATCATGTGGTTTTTGACTTTTGTTCTGTTTATGTGATGTATTTTGTTTATAAATTTGCATATGTTGAACCAGTCTTGCATCCTTGGGATGAAGCCTACTTGGTCATTATGGATAAGCTTTTTGATGTGCTGTTACATTTGGTTTGCCAGTATTTGATTGAATATTTTTGCATCTGTGTTCATCGTGGATATTGGCTTGAAGTTTTCTTTTTTAGTTGTGTCTCCACCAGGTTTTGGTATCAGGATGACGTTGCTCTCATAAAATGAGTTAGGGTGGATTCCCTCTTTTTGTGTTGTTTGAAATAGTTTCAGAAGGAAGGGTACCATCTTGTCTTTGTACATCTGGTAGAATTCTGTGAACCCATGTAGACCTGGACTTTTTTTCATTGGTAGGCTGTTAATTACTGCCTGAACTTCAGACCTTGTTATTGGTCTATTCAGGGATTTAACTTCTTCCTGGTTTAATCATGGGAGGGTGGAAGTGTCCTGGAATTTATCCATTTGTTCTAGATTTACTGGTTTGTGTGCATAGAGTTGTTGGTAGTAATCTCTGATGGTAGTTTGTATTTCTGTGGAATCGGTGGTGACATCCCCTTTATCATTTTTTACTGCATCTATTCGATTCTTCTCTCTTTTCTTTTTTATTAGTCTGGCTAGTGGTCTATTCTGTTGATCTTTTCAAAACAGCTCCTGGATTTATTGATTTTTTGAAGGGTTTTTTGTGTCTCTGTCGCCTTCATTTCTGCTTCAATCTTAGTTATTTCTTATTTTCTGCTAGCATTTGAATTTGTTTGATATTGCTCCTCTAGCTCTTTCAGTTTTGATGATAGGGCTTTGATTTCAGATCTTTCTTTTCTTCTCCTGTGGGCATTTATTGCTATAAATTTCCCTCTAGACACTGCTTTAAATGTGTCCGCTAGACTCTTTCTTAAACCTCTTTAAAAAAGAGATTCTGGTACATTGTGTTTTCATTCTCATTGGTTTTAAAGAACATCTTTATTTCTGCCTTCGTTTCATTATTTATGCCATCGTCATTCAGGAGCAGGTTATTCAGTTTCCATGTAGTTGTGTGTTTTTGACTGAGTTTCTTAATCCTTAGTTCTAATTTGATTGCCCTGTCCTCTGAGAGACTGTTTGTTATGATTTCCGTTCTTTTGCATTTGCTGAGGAGTGATTTACTTCCAATTATGTGGTCAGTTTTAGAGTAAGTGCGATGTGGTGCTGAGAAGAATGTATATTCCATGGACTTGTGATTGATAGTTCCATCAATGTCTATTAGGTCCACTTGGCCCAGATCTGTGTTCAAGTCCTGGATATCCTTGTTAATTTTCTGTCTCGTTGATCTAATATTGACAGTGGAGTGTTAAAGTCTCCCACTTTTGTTATATTGGGAGTCTAAGTCTCTTTGTAGGTCATGAAGAACTTGCTTTATGTATGTGGGTGCTCCTGTATTGGGTACATATGTATTTAGGATAGTTAGCTCTTTTTTGCATTGATCCTTTTACCTATGTAATGCCTTCCTTTTTCTCTTTTGATCTTTAAAGTCCATTTTATCAGAGACTAGGATTTACAACCCCTTCTTTTGTTTGCTCTCCATTTGCTTGGTAAATCTTCCTTCATCCCTTTATTTTGAGTCTATGTGTGAAGAGATGGGTCTCCTGAATACAGCATATCGATGGGTGTTGACTTTTTATCCAATTTGCTAGTCTGTGCCTTTTGATTGGGGCATTTAGGACATTTACATTTAAGATTAATATTGTTATGTGTGAATTTGATCCTGCCTTTGTGATATTTGCTCCTCATTTTGCCTGTTAGTTGACACAGCTTCTTCATTCTGTCAATGGTCTTTACCATTTGGTACATTTTTGCAGTGGCTGGTACTGTTCCATTCCACGTTTACTTCTTTCTTCAGGAGCTCTTATAGGGAGGTCTGTTGGTGACAAAATCTCTCAGCAATTGCTTCTCCACAAAGGATTTTATTTCTCCTTTGCTTATGAAACTTAGTTTGGCTGAATATGAAATTCTGGGTTGAAAGTTCTTTTCTTTAAGAATGTTGAATATTGGCCCCTACTCTCTTCTGGCTTGTAGGGTTTCTCCAGAGAGATCTGCTGTGAGTCTGATGGGCTTCCCTTTGTGGATAACCTGACCTTTCTCTCTGGCTTCCCTTAGTACTTTTTCCGTCATTTCAACCCTGGTGAATCTGATGATTATATGCGTTGGGGTTGCTCTTGTTGAGGAATATCTTTGTGGTGTTCTCTGTATTTCCTTGATTTGAATGTTGGCCTGCCTTGTTAGGTTGGGGAAATTCTCTCGGATAATATCCGGAGAGTGTTTTCCAGCTTGGGTTCATTCTCCTCATCACATTCAGGTACACCAGTCAAACGTAGGTTAGATCTTTTCACATAATCCCATATTTCTTGGGGGCTTTGTTCTTCTTACTCTTTTTTCTCTAATCTTGCCTTCTCGTTTCATTTAATTGAGTTGATCTTCAATCTCTGATATCTTTTCTTCTGCTTGCTTGATTAGGCTATTCAAACTTGTGTATGTTTCGCAAAGTTCTCGTGCTGTGTTTTTCAGCTCCATCATGTCGTTTGTATTCTTCTCTAAGCTGTTCATTTTAGTTAGCATTTCTTCTAACCTTTTTTCAAGATTCTTCGTTTCTTTGTGTTGGGTTAGAACATGTTCTTTTAGCTCAGAGAAGTTTGTTATTGCCCATCTTCTGAAGCCTGCTTCTGTCAGTTCATCAGACTCATTCTCCATCCAGCTTTGTTCCCTTACTGGTGAGGAGTTGTGATCCCTTGGTGGATGAGAGGAGTTCTGGTCTTTGGTGTTTTCATCCTTTTTGTGCTGGTTTGTTCCCATCTTCATGTATTTATCTACCTGTGGTCTTTGTAGTTGGTGACTTTTGGATGGATTCTCTGAGTGGATGTCCTTTTTGTTGATGTTGCATTTCTTTAGGTTTTTTAGTTTTCCTTGTAACAATCAGGCCCCTCTGCTGCAGGACTGCTAGAGGTCCACTCCAGATCCTGCTTGCCTTGGAATCACCCATGGGGCTGCAAAACAGCAACGATTGCTTCCTGTTCTTTCCTCTGGTAGCTTCATCCCAGAAGGATACCAGCTAGATGTGAGCCAGAGCTCTCCTGTATGAGGTGTCTTTTTGGTTATACGGGGGTCAGGGAGCCACTTAGGGAGGCAGTCTGTCCCTTATCATAGCTCAAGTGCTATGCTGGAAGCTCTGTTGCTCCCTTTAGAGCTGCTGAGCAGGTAGGTTTACGTCTGCTGCAGCAGAACTCAGTTGCCCTTTTCCCAGGTGCTCTTTCCTCGGGAGGTGGGGTTTTATTTATAAGCCTCTGATGTGCTGCTATCTGTTTTTCAGAGATGCCCTATCCATCAAGGAGGAAGTCTAGTCACAGTTTGCCTGCAGAGGCGCTGCTGAGCTGCCATGGGCTCAGTCCAGCTAAGATGTAAACTTCCTTTGGCTTTTGTTTACACATGTAAGGTTAGAATCTCCTCGGCAATGGTGGATGCCCTTCCCTCCAGCGAGTTGGATCATCCTGGTTCAAGCTCGAACTAATGTACTGGCTGCGAAACTCTCAAGCCAGAGGGGTTAATTTTTCTGTTCTTTGTGGGGGTGGGCTCCGCCAAGCCATATCGCTTGGCCCCCTGCCTTCAGTTCCCCATCTTTCTGGGGAGTGGGAAACTCTGTCTCTCAGTCGCTCCAGGTGCCAGCCAAAACAGCCACCCAGATTTGTGCTGATAACCCATGGCACCAACCAGAACGGCCACTCCCATCTGTGCTGGTAACTCGCAGTGCATGTTGGCCTGGTGGGGATCTCCTGGTTTGTGGGTTGTAAAGACCTTGGGAGAAGCGCAGTATCTGAACTGGAGTCCCAGAGTGGAAAAGTTCCCGATGGCCTCCGTTGGGTAGGAGGGGAGTCCTCCGGCCAGTTGCACTTCCTGGGTGAGGTAATGCCTTGTCATACCTTGGTTTGCCCTTCCTAGGCTACACCCACTGTCCAACCAGTCTTATTGACATGAACCTGGTACCTCAGTTGGAAGTGCAGCAATCAGTTGCCTTCTCTGTCACTCTCACTGGGAACTGCGCTCTGGAGCTGTTCCTATTTGGCCATCTTGGTGGAAGTCCAAAAATCATTCAGTTTTTTTTTAATAATTTGCCTTACTTGGAACACAAATTATCTATGATGATAGTTATTCATCAAGCCGATTTTTTTTTTTGTTTCTCAGTTATCTAATTAATTCTGTTGCTGCAAGTTAATAATAATTTTAGAAGTAGTTTTTTCAAATTTAATTTAGGAAAAGTCATTATTTTCTGATTAAGTACTCAATTTTGAGTAGTTGTTCTTAAGTTAGATTTCATGATGTCATATCTTCTGTTGAACTTGAGGCTAAAAAAATGTAAGTATCTTGGCTGATTGTGGAAAGGTGAATTTGGTGTGTTTTTTTTTTCTCCTGAGCCGTCATTTTAGGGAACTTCTCATTTTTTCCTTTAGTAAGTACTTCAGTACCAGACAAATGAATTCTACCAGCCACTCTCCTTTTCGATTGATCATCTGTCTCAGAGACAATATAATTTGCTTATCTTTCCTTGTAGCATCAGAGGCTCCTTGAAATGCTAGATACAGAGAAGGAACTGTTAAAAGAAAAAATAAAGGAAGCTTTGATTCAGCAATCTCAAGAACAGAAGGTAATACTTTTAACTGTGCTCCCAGTGTAGAAAGAATGTGTTCAACAACCTCAAGTAATAGATTTAATGTCTTTCCAACTGTCTTATCATTGACAGGAAATATTGGAAAAATGTTTGGAGGAAGAAAGGCAAAGAAATAAAGAGGCATTAGTATCTGCTGCAAAGGTATTTCTATCTGTAATAGTGGGTTGCTTGTAAGTAAGTGGTATTTAAAAACTGAATGTACTAATAGTATTCTCAAACTACATTTATGTAATTTTTTCATTCCACAAAAATCAATGTTTTTCTTATATTTACTTTTAAACTTAAGATATGACTATATTCTTATTAAATTCACATTACACAAGATATGGTAGTATTGAAATGCTTTAGAATATAGATTACTACTTGGTATAAAGAACATATATGTTGGGACACTAATATCCACCTGGTATTTGTTAGATCTATTTAGAGGTTGTGTGTGTCTGTGTCTGTGTATCAAGGTAAGTAATTTTTAAAGCCAAGTTTAAAATAACTTATCTAAATCATGTGTTCATAGATATAAAATATACACACACCAACAAATACACTTCTAACACTTTAGAGTTTTAGATTTAAAATTAAATTTAACAAACAAATATTGAATGTCTCATATCTGTGTATCACTGTGCCAGCGGTGGAAATTCAGGGGTGACTGTGATTTTGTCTTTCTCTTAAAGAATTTATAATCATATAAGAAAAATGTCATTTATATACCAAGAGGGCAAGAAGGAATGCATTAAATTATGCTGAGTATATACATCATATATCTGTGTCATAGACATTTTTAAACAGTAAATTACTTTTGAAGTGAGCCTGAAAGGGTGGCTGGCATTCTGAACAGAGTTTGAATTTTATTCCATAGAAAGGGAGACATATTGACATTTTAAAAACATGTTTGTGCTGTAATGGTAATTGACATTAACTTTTGGGAAATTAGAGGCAACAAAAGCTAGAGGCAGGGAAAGAATTCATAGAATGCATCAAAACTCTGGATAAGAGATAGTGAGTGGTAAAAACATAGTAGTAGTAGTAGCTTGGAAAGGAAAGAAATAGTCAAAATCTAGAAATATGGTGAAGATGGAATCAATATATTTGCCTGATATGAATAATATTGAAGGTGGCCAAGTTGTATACTGCTAGAGTATGATTTAGGAACAAAATGGAAAATAGTACTCTTTCTTTGGGTGATTTAAAGCAAAAAGTTTGAGGTGATTTAAAGCAAAAAGTAGAACTTTTGAAAATTTATATCTGTTTTCCAATACATACTTTCCTAATGAGATTTATGATAATATTAACAAATTTGATTTTTAAGTTATGATATAAAGAAATGTATCATCTGGAGAAGACATGTAACCCAATGAAATGATATTTTTCACATAAAAATGTTAAAAAATTACACATCAATGAACGATTCATTCAAAGTGCAAGAAAGGACTGTAATATAATAGTATGAAAATTTCATTTGACATAATTTCATTTTCCTTATTGTACCTAACCTTTAAGAACTAGCCCATGTCAAGTTCTGATGTGAAGTCATCAAGAATATCTACAGTTATCTAAACTGGCTACTGAATACTTGGTTTTTCCTACTACCTATCTGTGTGAAACTGGGTTTTCTTTATATACTTCAACCAAAAAACATCATTACAGATTTAACACAGAAGGGAGAAATAAGAATTTAGCTGTCATCTATTAAGTCAGATATTAAAGAGGTTTACAGACACATACAGTGACATTTTCCTCACATTTAAAATTTTGGAAAGTAATTATTTTTCATAAAACATAGTGTTATCAATGCAGTCAATGATATTAATTTTAAATGAATTAATAATTTTGTTTTTTCTTGAAATGAATTTCTAATATGGTGCATATTAATACCTAGGACCAACATAAACAAAATCTTTTGATGTCTTCAATAATTTTAAGATTGTAAAGGAATCCTTAGACCATATAGTTTGAAATCTGCAACTTAAGCTAAGGCTTGGTTTCTTTGAAGATTAGAAATGCCATGGAAATTAAGCAGGAATATTTATATAGAAAAGAATAATAGATTTTATTTTACAGCAGTTATTTAGTTTACTTAAAAGCAGCAGTGTCAGAACTAAACACTATAGGATAAAGTTTTTTATCTTTTAGGTTAACCAAGTCTGAGTTACGCAAGAAATTATTATGCAGTCTTTCAAATTTATTCTGGTATTTATTTATTTTGAAGCTTGAAAAAGAAGCAATGCAGGATGCAGTTTTAAAAGCCATAGAAGAAGAAAGAAAACATTTGGAAAAAGCCCATGCTGAAGAAAGGGAATTATGGAAGATAGAACATGCAAAAGATCAAGAAAAAGTATCTCAAGAAATTCAAAAAGCTATACAAGAACAAAGAAAAATAAGTCAGGTTAGTAATATTAACTGTAAATATTTACTTTTTTTTCTCATTTTTCTCAATATGAAGTGCCCTTACTTTATCTTTTATCTTACTTAAAACAACTCTGGTAGATATTTATGACTTCTTATTTTTCCATTTTGATGTTAATATTTTACTTAATCATTTTTAATATTTTAATGTACTTTCATCTTTCTGGTATTGAAAACTCTGCAATTGACCATTTTACCCTTTTACTTTATTTTCTGAAAGGTCAGAACCAAATGTATGTTTAGTCATTGCAAATACGTTAAACTTTCTGTGTTTTTTTATTTTTCTCATAAACAGACACACACGCACACATGCACACAAACTCAGTCAATACAAAATAATATATTTGTATAGAAAACAATTTGATTCAAATTGCATCTGCCATGTATTGGCACCGTTAGACTTTTCTGACACACAACATTAAACAAGATAGACAGGACCCCTGTGCTTTCACGGAGTTTACATCCAAGTTGGGAAAGAGCTATGATAAGCAAGATAGTACCACGTGGTGCTGTGGGCTAGGAAAAAAATTCTGGTTTATATGTTTAGCTAAGAATGGTTATAGGAGATTTCTTTAGATAATAAAGTTAGGAAAGAAACCAAACTCAGTAAATTTACGTGTCATATAATTCAATTTATATGAAATTCTAGAGAAGACAAAAGTGATATGAGAGAAGATACTTCAGTAGAAGATACAATAACGGGGGGCAGGGGAATTTTTTGAGGGCAGTGGTAATGTTTTATATCTTGATTATGATAGCACTTACATTTGGCAATACTTATCAAATTACACATATAATATTGCTGAAAACTATTATATGTAATACCTTAATATAGCTGATTTTTAAAGAAACAAATGACTATCAGAATAACTGACTAGATGGTTGGTGATTTTGGATGTGGTTTCTTTTACTAAGGTGAGAAAAGATTAAGTTTCATGGGGCTAAAAATCTAATATTTATGTATTAATTGTGTGATGGCCTATTCGTGATCCTAGAGGAAATGTTGAGTAGGCAGTTAGAAATATAGAAATGGAATTCAGGGGAGCTGTCAGGGCTGGAGATAGAAATTTTGGATTAATAAGCATATAGTTGTTATTTAAAGCCAAATAAATAAAAAAATAATTTCTGGATAGAGTTCTATGACTTTCTTTTATAGAATGTGTCCATCTTCTATCTAGGAAGAATATGGCTGCTTTAGATTAACTGTGTAATACTGTAGATAGTCTCACAATTAACAGTTGTACTTCAGATGAAATAATGAAAGTGTTAAAGTTATTAGTGCTTTCTGTGTCACCCTGTAACCCATGATTGAGTAGCCAGGTCTTCATCCAGACTTTATAGGAAGCTCAGGTCATTAATACGAACAGCAGCTTCTGCCACTTTCTGCTGAGCCTCTGCCTGGATGCAGAGGCCAGTGCTTATTCTGTCTTCTAGGTAATACATAGAGCCCAGAGAGCCACTCTCCAGGGACCTATAAACTGTTTTGACTATAAACTGAAGGAACTGACTTTTTAAAAGCTTGGAAGTCATTTTTAAAGTCACTTCATAGCACTCAAATGTTTTCTGAAAGAAAACTAAATATGAACCGTAATAGCAATTAATATCTTTCTTTGTCTAGTAAGTCACAGTAGAAATTAGGAAATATTAGTATGGTAACACAAAAACATTGTGAAACTTAAGCAGCCTAAATTATTACTTAGAAATATAAAGGGAAAAATCAGCTTCTGCTTTAGAATTTACCTCTGGATTTCCTCTCTGCTAGTACTGGCATTAACTAAGAAGATAAATGTTAAACTATGACACAAAACAAGAGTACCTAAGGATTGTGGTAGATAATTCTCAGAACTCACTTGAGAGATGTTTTTCTTTGGCCTTGATCGTAAGTTAAGTCTGTCTTAATGCTGATTGTAGATTGTACTTTTTTCTGAGGTAATAAGAGAAAAATTTATGATCCTGGCTTATTGATTTTCATATTAAATTAATTCTGGGTCACTTAAAAGTCTTTGTTAAGGGAAGGACGTTATTGACACCAAAGCAGGCAAAAAGAGGATAGTCATTAATTTTGCTGTTCTAGCAAAGTCTTGTAAAAGAACTCTGGGGCATACAGACACTCAAACTATGTCTGACATTGGAAGCTCTTCATAACAGTTTATAACCACAGCCACTGTAATTTGGGGTTATGTTTTCCCTAAAAGCCACAGACATTACAATCAGTGGTTAAATTTTCCTTAAGAAATTTAGTACTGCCACCTGACCCTTCTTTTAAAAAAGGAAATAGCATTTCTATTTTAGCTTAGCAGGCTAGTTTCACAACCCTGAAATTTTTCTATGGTGACCTCTTTAGTTTTGATTCATTCATTTTAAAGTTTTTATTTACAATAGTTTGATGGTAACCTAGTTTATAATAAAGTTATAATGACATTTTAAATTATCCAGAGAATGAGAATTCATCCTAGATTTTCCCTTTTGTCCTCATTTGCACATCTTTTTAATTATCAGAACCTTTTCATTTTACCTGTAAAAATAATCCTTAAACATATACAGTTACTTCCAACCTGCTGCCATTGTCTTAAGTAATATTCTTATTGCTTACCTTGACATCCTATATAGACTTCTTTACCTCCAGTTTTGTGCTTTTCAACTTGGAGCAAGTTGGATGTCATTCTCCCACTTTAAATTCTTCAGTGCCTCCCTGAGGCTTATAAAATAAAGTTCAAACTACTTAGCATAAAATATATATCTTTCATTGATCTGTTCTGTACCTGTCTACCTCATCTTCTGCTGCTCTGTTTCACATTTCATGCTTTTAGAACCAAGTGACTGGTACACATAGAGTGCTATTTTATGGTATTGGGCCTTGGTTCATAGTGCATCATCAGCCCAGAATGCCATTGCATTCCCCCAACTGGTAAAACCCACTCTTCTTTCATAATTCATCAATTTTATCCCCCATAAAACTTTTCTTTCCTCCTTCCAGATTAAATCAAGTGCTCTTCTTAGGCATTCGGTATATAACTAAACCATTGCTCAGCCATACTATTATTATAAAAGGACTTGTTTCTCTGTCTTCTCCACTAGATTACAAACACCTTAAAAGGAGGAGCTGAGTCTTCACAGACTGCAGTAGGTTATGATATAGGACCAGCACTGTTTTAAGGAGACATACTAATCTTTGAAAAATCAACTGGGTCTCCAACAACACAATTTGGCTCTTAGAGTTATGGTAGCTTTTAATTGGAATATTTAATCAGGACTAGGGTTATTTAAAACAGTGCTATAGATGTTATAATCCCCTTTTTAAAGAAGCATTCATCAGACTGTCAGCTGGGTGCCAAACTGAACTGATTTTTATCATTGTTACTCAATGAAATACTTGGAAAATACTCCAGGAGGTCAAGGGTAATTACTTTCAGCTTCAGAAAAATGTTTACTTTGAACAACTAGTATACACTTGCTCTACAGTGATGAATGGCTGCATGAGTGTAAGTAGAATTTTTAGGCCACAGTAAAGTAGTGCAGTCTCTTTCACTGGTCAAACAGAAGCATTGCATTCAATTACAGATACCATGTTTTAAAAGAGACATTCCCAAATCAGAATGAGACATTCATTTGTACCACCTCAGCATCTATTACTCTGTTCCCAATATGATAGTTTATTTCTTAGTGATGTGGTTTAGAGGAAATTTAACCTGCTTTCTAATTTACGTATAGCTGCTTGTTTACATAGGCTAGTAATTATTTTACATCCCCATGTTTCAAGAATGCACACATAATTTGAGCCAAGCTCTTCAGACTCAGTTTGAGGACTTGCTTCCTCAGGTATATAAACTGTCTTGTTCACAGAAAGAAAATGAAGAAATTTGTCTTGAGACCATATATGTAGAGATTTTGAGAAAAAAGAAACAACATCATTGGTGAAACTAAGCACTAAAGAGGAAGAGATTTGCATCTTGATCACATTGTTTGCCCACTGTTAGGTGAAGCCCACTGTTAGTTCTTTTATGTTCTCTCATATGAGGCTATAACTTTATTTTTTTTTCCTTAAGTCAATTTTTGCTGAATTTTCTGTTACTTAGGATCCAAAGAATTTTAACTGGTTGTCAAATAATTGTGCTAAGGAGTAAACGGGTTAAATTTGAGTCCTAGCTTGTGACTCATGTAATTTTGACCAAGTTTTAAAAATCTTTAAGTTTCCACTTTTAGGTCTGTAAATGGGATTAATAATACCTATTTTGCATATTTATTGTGTGGCCCTTGGAAACAAGTCAAAAAGGAAAGACAATAGATGGTGTGTGTATATATACACATTTTAACTTAGCTGAAGAGGGACAGATTAGAAGAAGCAGGTGAAAATATTTAGCTCGCTGCTGTCTTGTGTCTCTTACTAATGGGTATACATTCCGAGAAATGCATCATTGGGAGGTTTTGTAATGCAAATCTCACAGAGCGTACTTATACAAACCTGGGTGGTATAGCATTCCTAGGCTAAGCTACAAACCATACAGCATATTACTGTACTGAGCACTTTAGGCAGTTGTAACACAATGGCAAGTGTGTATCTAAATGATAGAACAGTAAAAATACATATTATAATCTTAAGAGATCAGTATTGCATACACTGTCCCTCATTGACAAAAATGTCATTATATGGTGCATGACTATACAAGCTGAAACTATGAAATTACAATTGATCTAGCAAAGTGTGCATCATTTTATCCAGGATTGAAAAGATAGATTGGGTAGAAGGTTGAAGAATGTGTATTAGAGAATATAATCTCTACTGTCCTTTCTACACTATGGATATCTGTTTCTATTTCTGTATTATTATAGGTATCGGGCAAATTCTTACTTTACAGATGGGTACCCAATTACTAATATTGCAAACATTTTTCATTTTTATAATTTAATTATAAAAAGTTCTTTTTCTTAAATAGTTACTGTAAAATCCTTTTCCAGTACATTTAAAATACTTATATTGCT